CTCAGAGCTGCTGCTGCCTCTGCAGCCTGCGAAACATCTGGACCTTTAATTGACAAATCGCATGGTGCCGTGCAGAGCAGGCATGCTAAGTGAAGTCAACAATTTAGAATAAAAAATAATAGTGTGTTATTTACCTTGGAGTTAAATATTCATACTTTGTTATGCTTTGGATAACAGGAAATTACCGGGTTAAATTTTTATGAATAGTGACAGTGTGAATAAGATAAATTAAGTATTTAATGATGTTAATGGAGTTTTACATTGTGATCTGCTAACTTTGCAGCACAGGCTGGGGTGATGCAGAGGAGAATCCTCCCCTCATAAGGGAACAGCTTTGAGGCTTCACTGAGAAGCTGCAGGGCTGACAGTGTGCTGGGTTCTCTCTGGGGTGTCCTCCACCTGTGGTTTAGGAGTAACAGGAGGAACCCAGTGCCCAAAGTTATGAAAAACCCCAATGATGGTGTAACCACCTGATGACACAAACACCATTCCTTTTTTTGCCATGGTAGGGAATCGTGTGGTGGGCTGGAGAAGGAAAGAAAAAAGAAAAATATGGTCCCTTATATTGCCATAAACATCTGTGCTGTGATCTGTTAGAAATTTTTGTGTGTTGTAAATACTGGGTTGTTATTATTATTATATTTCCACATTTCCCCTTCAAGTATTTTCTGTGTGTCAATTAAATACATAAGCAAGTAAGTTATGTTGTGGAGGTGATTGCTGGATCACAGAGTGTAGTCAACACCCTGTCACCCAAACCAAAAAACATTTAACTGAGTTTAAAAGTGAGAAGACATTTTGCATTTGGGAATGGAATAGCATTTGTTTCCATTTTGTGCAGTGTTTAGCGTTGTTTGCTGGGAGGTGAGTCAATGACTTGAATTAATTATAATTACTGAAGAGACATACACTGATTGAGCAAATAAAGTAGTAAGCTCATTCGTGCCAAGGCCATCTAATTAAATGCTAACTTTGGGTAAGCTAGATGTGCATGAAAGATTAATTTTAAGAGGTTTTTATGACTCCCACTAAATAATGATTCAGTAAAATCTTTGCATTATATCATTAGAACATCTAATCTTAAAATGATATAACATTTAGTCACAGAACTCCATTGTGCAGGAAGAGGCAGTAAATTGTCAGTGTTGAAAATCAATCACTTTTCTCTTGGAAATGTTTATGGACTTGGTTTTAATTTTGTGCCGTGGTGTGCGGTGAAGCAGAGCAGGAGTGAGAAGGACAGGCTGTGCCCGACTGCCACAGCTCCCCGTTCTGCAGTGCTGCAGCAGCTTTTGGGGTGAGCTGTGCTGGGCTGGAGGAGCTGTCCCTGGGCCAGGAGTCAGGGCAAGTGTCAGTGACTGCTGAACGTGCACCCCATCTGCTGTTGGAGGGAAGGGTGCCTTCCCTCATGGAATAACATTTGATTTTAAATCTTAGAAAGACATCTTATGTTGGAAGAACTGATAGATTTTAATTTTTTTTTTTTTTTTTGTAATTTGACATACTGTAGGAGAACACCACGGAACCTTAAAAGAATCCATCAATAAAAATACTAGGAAAGTTTTCTATGATTTATTGTACATTTTCAGTGTATCCAGTTACTCCTCACTTTCTTAAAGGATTGGTGGGATATAACATTTCTAACAATAAAAGCTTAATGGAATCAGATTTGTGATTTCCTAGAAAATTAACGAGATATTTTGTCAATTTTATTCCAGACTTCATTTGTCAGAATATACAGTGTCCAGTGACAAGCTAAAAGAATTTTTTGACAAATTAACTGTGCCACAGGTGACAGATCAGGAAAATGTTAATTTAACAGCCCCTTTATGCTTCCCAGATTTATTGGAGGCTATTAAGGAAACTCCAAATGGTAAGGCCCCTGGCCCTGAATAGATTTTCCATTGAATTTTATACAGGATCTATTAATAAAGTTTGATGCTGCCTCTTTGAATATTAGTAATTGTCCTTTATCTTCTGGGTTTCTTCAGCATTTCCACTTGGAGCACAGTTTTGAGCTGGGGACCAGAGGTGATTGTGGTTCCAGGGGTGCCTGTGGTTTTGGGGTTCCCTGGAGGGTTTGGGGTTCACTGGAGGGACCAGCGGGGCCGGGCTGGTCCCCGTGCCCGGTGCCACCAGGGCCAGCCTGGCCCCGTGGGCTCCAAACAGATCAGTAATCCATCTCTTGGGGACCTCCTGCACAATTAACTGTTACCCTGATTTTTAAAAGTGTTTTCTTTTATAGTTGTTTTGAATGTCTTAGAGTTCTCATAAAACTTCTTCAGCCTTCTGATGTTTACATGTTTCTACTGGAGTTCTCACGCACTGTTTTTAATTGTTTTGCATTCTTCTTTGTGGGAGGAGAGAATTGATGGACTGTTGGTTTGCCCAGTGTGGCTGGAGAGGTGGTAATTCCATCCTCCAATCCATGGGCACCTCTGGAATTCTATAAATATCAGGTGCTCAAATGAAACGTTCTCTTTTTGGCCTTTGAACTTGCCACGTGTCTGTGCCCTTACTTCGTGTCCAATAGTGACAATTAACACTCTGCAGGGTGGGCTGAGGGCATGGATTCCCTCAGACAGGGACCTGATGGCTTGGATTGTTCATGTGGTTCTGAACAAAACCACCAATTTGCAATAAGCACAGTGGAGGTTTCCTCCAGACCCCCTTGGTGTGGGACTGATCCCTGAGCCCTGACACACCACAGGTTTGTACAAACATTTCCTCCCCAGTGTGACAATGGATGTTCTCATTACTGCTAGAAAATCTAATTGGCTTATTTCAGCCTCCCTAATACCTCATGGCCATCAGCTTTACAGACCTCTAATTAATAAAACTATTTCTCTGACTTTTTAAAAGATCTTGAGTATAACAGCAGTGCTTTGAGCCATTTCCCAGTCCTGCTGTTGTTGGGATTGCTCCCCTGGCTCACAGAGCAGTTGGACTCCTCATAGGTGCGTGGGTTTTACCTGGTTTAAGTCACCTGTCATTTTGCTGTTCACACTGAGTGTTTGTGAGCAGAGCAGGATAGCTGTGGTGGAGGGACAAGAAAGATAGTAAAAATAGGCTGGAGGAGGCAGAGGAGATTTAGAGATGGGGAGAACTGAGACAGGTTTAGTTAAAAACCAGCAAACTCCAGGTCAGCCCAGTGTGGGGCAGGCAGAGCCATGCTGCGAGAGGAGCCCCAGGAGTGTCACTGCCAGGCTGGGACAGCTGGAGCCCAGGGCCCCTGGGCAGGATGATTTTATCATTCCTGGGTTTGGGGCTGTGAGTTCACAGCGTTCCTGCAGTGGCTGATGGATAACCTGGTCTCCTGGGGTGTCAGTCCCAGCTCCTGGCTCGTTTGTCCCTTCCCTGGCTGGGTGTATCAATTGTAACCTTGGCATCGACTCCCACATCTGGGTGTCCATTTTTCTTGGCTTTTCCATTAGTAGGACCCAGCATTACTTACGATTCTGCCCTCCTTGGATTTATATATGTAACTGCCTTGGCGTGCCAAGGAGCCACATTAATTTCCTGGTAGCTGCTGTTTGCTCCTTCTCTTGCCAAACAGCCTCAGCTCGGGGCAGGACCGGCGCTCTGGGCTCCCGTGCCCCTGGGTGTCTGCCCCTGGGCACACACAGCTGATTCCTTACCTGCTACCAGCTCATTTCCCTTCCAGAATAAGTCGTGGAAGTAGAAAAGCAAGAGAGATGGACAGACAGGAACCCACCCTGGTGTTTTTTACCAGCTGTAGCTCTGCTGTGCTCGTGAACTCGTGAGGTTGTGGGTGGTGTCCCGGACGGTCCCGGGCACATGACTCAACCAAAGGTGTTCAGGTTTATCCAAGAAAATGAAGGAGTGTCCCATGTTCTGTTGCAAACCTAATCCTTCCTTTAAATGAGCCAAACCGGTTTCTTCTTACCCTAAAAATATGGGAAGAGGAGGTATCTGTTCTATAAAAATGCTTTCTTAAAAAATAAATGTATTATGTTGGGATGGATTTTAATAATACCTTTAGCTATGCCAGTATGAATAACTTTAGTCTTTAAATTCCTATTACTTCTCTAATTTATAATCACACTGAAGGATCAAATGGTTTTTAACAATATATTGAAATTAGCACATGGCATTTAACTCCCTGTTTTATGCTCTCATTATAGATTTATAGCATTGAATCCTTTTATTCTGTTACTTAGAATTCCAGGTGATTAATTCAAGAAGCCCTTTCTCTTCTCAAGGCCCTTGTAGTATGGAGAGAGATGGAGATACTTGGAGTGCTTTGGAAGAGGGGATCAGGATGTGCAATCTTTTGTTTGTTTAGAAGATTTCTGGGTGAAAGCTGCAGTCCTACCAGCAGTGGATTAAACATTCTTTTCTTGCAATGAAAACTTTGTAGATCTGTGTTGCTGTGTGCTCCATGGTTTTTTTAATTGTCAATCTCCAGGGCACCAAATGGGTTCTTTTTGTGCAGTAAGTTCCAGCAAACCCCAGTGTTAGTTGATTCTTCTTGGTGTCCTCGAGCAGAGCACGTCAGGCTCAGCTGCGTGTGTGGTTTTCTCTGCTCTTGGCAGAGAAAGGCCAAGCCTTGGTGTGTGGGTGTCTGTGCTCCCTCCAGGGGCTGAGGCTCCTCAGGTGCTGGGGAAGAGCTTCTCTTCTGCAGAGCTGCAGAAACAAGGGCAGTGTTCTTCAGAAATCTTAGCCTTGTTTGTTGGGTCCCTCTCCCTCCCCATCCCGCACATAATTCCATTTTTTTGGATTCTGCAGGAAGATGGGATCCTGCAGCAAAGTTCAGGCTCTTTATGGAAATCTGTGAAATCATGTCCAGATATTTCATGTCCTTCTTGCAGATAAACAGCAGGGAAATAATTGGAATTTAAATGTTCAATCTTCTTCCAATTTTAAGCCATAGCAGCATATTTTACTTTTCCTGCTGAGCTGAATTCCATCCGCCCAGATTCTGTATAAACCCTGTCACACGTTTTTATAGATCCTGATGAAATGTGTTTCCTCAACAGGGCCATGTTGGTACAACGGCAACCAAAAAAATCGATGTCTACCTCCCACTGCACACAAGCCAGGACAAGCTGCAGCCCATGACCGTGGTGACCATCGCCAACGCCAAGGTGCACGATCTGATCGGGCTCATCTGCTGGCAATATACAAGTGAGGGCCGGGAACCCAAGCTGAAGTAATGCTCTTTCTTTACTACCTCCTGACCTCTAAATTTCTCCTCTGCAGCCTTTTTGCATACTGAAATGGAGTTCTGTGTCAGTGTTTGGAAGTATAAATCCCAGCACCTTCACATTTGTCAGTGCTCCCCTCCGAGCAGCACACGTGCACCTCCAGCCGTTTCTCTCTCAATTAACTGCTGTGTGCTGGGAAGTGATCAACAGCAAGGCTTGGATCTGTAAATGAATCATCATTTCAAAACTATGTAAAAAAAATGCTAACTTCATCACTTTTGGTGTCACAGAGGCATTCGTTATTTCATGTCCCATCTATTTTTTGCTGATGTCCTTAATGGTTGAGATCACAAGATGTCAGATAAAGCCCAGAGCTGCTCTAAGTCCCTTTGCTATGCTGGAGCACTGGTGGTGGTTGGTAAGAGCTGTTCCCCTTTCCTGGCAGATGACAGGACAAACCTGTTCTTCAGAACAGCTCACCTGAGCAGCTTTCATTTTAGAACAGTTGTGTAAAGTACTTCTGGTTTTGCTGGGCCATAGAATTTACAGAGTTGTCAGTGGCAGTTACTGGCAGGGATGCCCCTGGTGTGAAGGAGGTTGATAGTTTTGTTTGGGTTTTTTCTATATGAGCCAAATTTAACTTTTTTATTTTTGATTGATCCTGGAATACTGAATGAATAGGGTGGGTTTTTTTTGATCCTGAATTTTGCAGCTCACTCTTTCAGCATTTTTCAGGAGCCCTGCAGGGCTCAGCAGTCTTAGCTGCTGTTGGAGCAGAGCTGTGGGGGGAATGGGAGTGAGGTCTTGGCCTCCCCTGTTTGGATTTGCTGATTTCTGTTCCATGGACAGGGCACACAGGAAAGCAGCCCCTCTTGGAAACAGTTCCATGGATGTTCTTTCTTTGGGTGTAGGTTTTCCCTTAGCTCTTCTCAACAGACATATGAAATGTTTCTGGGGTTAAACACTTGGCTTTAATTTGTCCTTTTCTATGTTCTGGAGAAGAAATATAAAATTATTCACAGATGGTGCCATTTCATTTGCTGTTATTAACTTCTGTTCATTATATCACAAGTTCAGAGAAGCATCCTTTGTGTATGATTAGGTTATTTTTCAATGAGTAAGACACCACTGTTGTCAGTCTTTGGGCACACACATATTTTCCAGGAGCACAGCAGAGCTCAAATGGAACAGCACCCGTGAGTGGAGTGTTCCATGAACCATCACTGCCCACAGCACAAGGCAACAGTGGGAAGAAATGAATTTCACTGTCTGCCTTGAAGGATAAGATGTTATGATGTGTCAAAAAGTGCTCCTGAGCAAGGAGGCTGTCCAATGTAATCAAATCTCAGGCAGAAAGAATAAAATAAATAATGGAGGCGTGAGTTCCCCAGAGCACGTGTCAGACACAGCAACAGCTGAGAATCTGGGGACAAAGGCTCAGACCAAGGGCCAGAGCCTCGAGATTCCTGGAAGTTTGTTTTCTTCTAGGTCCTTAATTATTTCTCATCATCTTTTTTTTAGCATGGCTGTCTGCCAGTCCTGAAGCAAGGACTGATTTAACTGTAAACTAAATCTCATATTTCCACGTAAGGAAGGAGCTCGTGTAGGGTACCCATTCTACATTGGCCATTTGTTCCTGATTCAGTCAGGAATCAGGAGAGGGTGAAAAGACAAAATGGGGATCATTGTGACACTGCACTAAAATACATCTGTAGAATGCCTCAGATGGGTATGCAAGGCATGCAGAGTGACAACTATACCTGCTAGTGACACTGTGAGAATAATGAGGAGGTTTTAGACTTTATAATTAGGAGAAACAACCCCCTCTGTCTTTAGGAAAAGAATATATTACTGCCTAATTCCTTTCCCTAAAAGATAGGTGTAAGAGTCTGAAGTGAATGAGTACTAGTTGACAGCTTTGAGAACATTCTGTATTCAATTAGGCTGCCTTTTTTATATAATTGTATTGTATTTGTCTCTATTCAGTCTCTTGGTTCGAGGAACCCCTGGCAGTGTTAGCAGCCCTGTCCCTGGCCTCTCACACAGGGACTTGGGTTGTAACCCAGCAGATATTTTCTTGCCAGCCCCTGACAGATGTGCTGGAATGATTCCATCTGCAAAAAATAAACGAAATCCCTTTCTAGGAAGAAATTAATAGTGAGGTGCATAATTCAAATACATTTGCTATTTTTAGAAGCGAGGATTGAATCTCTCAGTTTTTGTGCTGAACTTGTAAGTTCCCAACTTCAATCTCACTCAGCCTGGTGGAGGTTCAAAGTGCAGAACAGTTTTACTCACTGGGCTTTTTTTTTTTTCACCTGGTGGAGGGGAGGACACAGGGAATGGCTCCCACTGCCAGAGGGCAGGGATGGATGGGAGACTGGGAATTAGGAATTCTTGGCTATGAGGCTGGTGAGGCCTTGGCACAGGGTGCCCAGAGAAGCTGTGGCTGCCCCATCCCTGGAAGGGTTCAAGGCCAGGAAGTTTTTTTACTAGTATTTGCAGAATTTTCAAAATTCAGAGTGGTGACTGTTGCTGAATTATCTTTGGTGAGCAAATTTGCAGCTTACATTAACAGCAATGCATCATTATTCCCTGTTTTCTATAATAAATGTCTTAGTCATGACAAGATGCCGATAGATCACCTGGACTAAGCACTCTCAATAAAGCACAGTTGCAACCAAAGGTTTGTGAATTAATTGAGAAAATTGCAAATCAGGTAGTCAGTGAAATAATTCATTGTCACATCCAATCAATAAACTTTGTAAATCAACTCATTTAATTCAAAAAATGATCTATATAGATCAAGCGACCAATTAAACAATTAGCATACACTTTACAATTAATTAATTTAAGCATCAATCATGCAATTAAAACTCCAAATTTAAACTGCAGAGTTTAGAAACATGCTGCCACATGCACCTCCAGCTTTACTGCATGGCTGGGGAAAGGCCTGAGTGTTGGCATGTTTACAGTCAGGAAGAATACTTACTTTCAGGTCAATAATTTAAACTGAAGTAACATTTGAAATAGATTTCAATGTTAGGAAATTATGATTAATACCTGTTTGGTAGCTATAAATAGTTGTTTCCCTCTGGACTTTCATCTGTGGAAGGAAAGAGGCTCAGCTCTTTATTTCTCTCACACTGTATCCGTATCAGTTTTCTGTGTTAGTTCTGCTTGTTGGTGTTTATTAATTTGTGACTGCTTTTAGTGAGTGAACTTAGGTATTCAGTAAAGGTAAGTTTTCTGCTAATCATTGCTATGTGTTGGACAGATTTTTTACTTTTCCTTTAGCTCGTTACCCCACTTACCTGCCCAAGAGCACTCTGCTTTTCCAGCCTACAGACACTACACTTTCACAGTTGCTTGACCTATGGAAAATCACAGAGACCACTTGTTTGCCTTTAAGTTCTGAAGAGTAGTCATCATATGAATACATAAATTTTCAGAAATGGAGAAATATTACTCCCTGCTTTATGAAATCATGAGGCTTTTTTAGATTTCAGTGTATTTTGATCATTGTCAGGTTTTGCTTGAGAGCAGTTAAGGATGAAGACAGCTCTGCTCTGAGGTTTGGGGTTTTTCTGTCACCGGAGGCTTGTGGCAGCAGGGTACGTTGGGAGCTCTGGGGACGTGTTTGGGTGTCCCCACACAAACCAGGGGTGTCACTGCACAAACCAGCGGTGTCACCACACAGACCAGTGAGTGTCCCTACACAAACCAGGGGTGCCACCACGCAAACCAGCGGTGCCACCACACAAACCAGTGAGTGCCACCACACACACCAGCAGTGCCACCACGCAAACCAGTGGTGCCACCACACAAACCAGCGGTGCCACCACACAAACCAGCGGTGCCACCACA